GGAATAATTATTGCTCCATCTGGATGAAGAATGAGGCTCTGTCCTTTACTTGCATTCTCATTTACCTAGCGTTGATTAACAGGGGGTGCCTGTGGACGCGCTTGAGCCTCGTTTGCTGCTCCTCGATTGGATTATAGGGGATTGAATCCACCTGAGAGTCGTTCGTGGAGCCGGCAAAACCTGGATGAAAGGGGAGCACTTTGCTTAGCAGGGATTTATCAGGAGATCTCTGATGTTCGCTTTCTGGAATACCCCTCTGTTCCCCTTTTCAGCATGCACTTCAGTTGTTTTTATGTTTGCAGTTGTCACACTCCTGGACTGTGTTTGAAATGTTCACTCATTCAGCCCTTGGTGTCCACTCTATAATTCTCTGTATAGGGAACAGAAAATGGCCGCTGTGTTTTGAGCAGCACTTCAACACGGCGTGATTCATAATCATGGGCCAAGTTTTCTGTCTGGTGTCGTGTAAACAAACCCAGGCGGGATTCATCAAAATAAAACACACCTGAATCTGAGGTGATGGGCGGTGTTATTTAGCTGCTTTTAATGGGGGATGTAATTACCATCATTTGTTTCCATAACACTGATGTTGTATTTAATTACATATTTGTTATTAGTCATTACACATTCTTTGCTGTACACGTTTAGTGTAGACTCACAACCTTCAACATTTAATACTTATAAATCAGCATCCCAAACAAGTTACTTTTTATTTATGTATGTAAATCATCAGCACTGAGCTGCAACAGTTAAAATGTGGCCTGATTTTAACTTTGAGGCTAGTTAGCATTAGCATATTCTGTGCTGGCTCAGGTTGATTTTAACTGTTGCTGATTGCAGCTCACTGTCACTCATCATCTACCATAGTAAATATGAGAAGTTCATTTGCAAAAACTGATAAAACCCATTTTTTATCAAAACCACCTAACTTTATTGATATAGGACAAGGCAATATGGCCTAAAATCAATACCATATTGAGGAGTTCACCTCAATAACAATAAATGGATGATAACTACGTGTATGCACAAAAACAAAAGCTATCCACTAGATGAGGCTGTCATGTATTACATTGAGTTACATTGTCATGCAGGGTTTCCCCCAGCGCTTTATAAGCCTGGCAGCCCACCAGGTTTTGCTTGGCCACCCGCCAGGCTAAGCGTCATGCCCCGCCCCCCTCCCCGGCCCTACCGTGTCCGCTGACACGAATGGCGCAATGAAACTAGAGCCCTCCATCAGCTGATACTGGTGAGAAACAGCAGCGGAACGTGTGCGACCCCTCTCCCCCGCTCTCACAGAGTAGCGCTGCGGGACGGAGCGCGCAAGACACCCCCCCCCCCGAGAAAACAGTGAACCAGCACAGCTTCTTGAGTCTAAGAGCAGCAAAAGCTAAGCAGTAGCTCAGGAGGTTGAGCGGGTTGTCCAGTAATCGAAAGGTTGCATGTTCCGTACCGTCTCCTTACAGAGAATTCTGCTGTTGTGTCCTAAGGCAAGACACTTAACCCACCTTTCCTGCTGGTGGTGGTCGAAAGGACTGGTGGCGCCTGTGCTTGGCAGCCTCTCCTCTGTCAGTGTGCCCCAGGACAGCTGTAGCTACAATGTAGCTTATCATCACCAGTGTGAGAATGGATGAAAAATACACTGTAGTGTAAAGCGCGTTGGAGTCCTCTGACTCTGAAAGGCACTGTACAAGTGCAGGTCATTAATCATCATTTATCTAAAGATCAAAACATAAACAAACTGTTGACAGAAAATTAAAGTTAAATTAACATTGACATTAACATTGGGCCTTCCGCTTCATCCATGTAATGCAGATCCAGTACGGAGACACTGGTGGCTAGATTGCTGAGATTCATTTGTTATGCAGCACATCAGACTTTTGAAGCACCAGATAGGTCAGTAAACCCACAGAGGGACAGTTGTGTAGCTTAGTCTGTTATAATGTATTTTCTCAAAGCCTTGAGTATCAGTAGTCCTCAAATTACGAGAGTGGCTTAAATCAATCCTTGTGAAAGTTGCCTAAACACGAAACCAACGCTCAATCAACCACTCATTGATTTTGTCACCATTCAGGCCATTACTAACCCGTATATTTAACTACTCACACTTGTGTATCTTTTGGCAAATGCAAATTAAAACCATTACAGTGTGTGTGTGTGTGTGTGTGTGTGTGTGTGTGTGTGTGTGTGTGTGTGTGAGTGAGTGAGTGAATAAGACTGTATGGTTTCTATTATCTAAGCTTCTCCAATTCTCATCTATTCTAAGTAGATTTTGGATATTAGATAGTTATGTTCATGAAGTTATAATAAAAATGTTGATTTTTATTTGTACAAAAATCAGTTAACTGCTATGATTGGATAATACCAAAAAGTAGTTAAGTAAGTAATGACTTGTTTCTCCTCTGTTCCTTTGATAACTAACCATTAGTCCCTTGATTCAGACTGGTGGGTGTTTTACCATTAAGTACTGGTTAACTACCCATTAGTCCCTAACAATTCTGTGTTTCTTATTGTAATGCGTTACCATTTTTTTCTTCACTTTTTCACTCTTCAGTGAAATATTGCCATTTATTCCTTTTTCTTGGCTTTTTCTTTTTCTTTTCTCTTTAACCAACCATTAATTTTGTATTTTGCCAGGGACATATACATGATTGCAGAAAGCATTTCATTTTGGTGGCACTCAACTAGAGGATTAAGGCTATCAATATTGCATGAACAAGTTAATAAAATCCGTGTCTATATATCCCTACATTAGGGGTAAACATAAGACTTGGAATCGATTTGATCTCTTCCTTCAGTAATTGTGGGTCGTGTTTGAGGTTTTGCTTCTCTGTTGTCTTAAGAATTATGTGCTAAATGCTTAAAATACCAAGTGTAATAGTCCAATGTTCTCAGCTTAATCCATGCTTCTCATATGATGGAATAGAAATTGCTTTTGGAGATTATTTTTATTTGTGTTTGTGAAAGTTTGCTGTCCATTGAGTCAGCTTCTCTTGTAACATGTGTGGGTGTTTTTATGCTTCGGGACAAACACTATGAATGTTCCATCTATTTCTTTTTTCTGTGGTTTCTGTGGTAACATTTGGGGCGTATAGAAGCTGAAGAGCACCCAGAGGCTTGCAGGAGGGGACAGAGAATGATGAGCAGTCTGGGATGTTGAGAGGACTCAAAATATTTAGTGCAGTAAAAAAACCTTGAAGTAGAAAGCATTGTGTTGCAACTGGAAGCAAGAGTTAAATTTTTTAATGGAAAAACACAAAATCCATAGCAATAGCAAAAGATTTTTTTCTTTTCGTCAAAGTAGCCACGTTCCATTGTAACTTCAGCAGGTTTTACCATTGGCCCAAACAATTTTGCATCTAGCCACTCATATCACTCTATGTTTGTTGGGCAGGCTTAACAAAATAGCTGAGATACAAACAAAAAAAAAATCTACAAGATTGTGTCAACTCAGGAACAGCGCTCATTTGAAATGACTTTGGCATCAACTTTGGATGGTTTGGGTTTGAGCTTATCTTTGAGACATGAGCAGATATTTAGTGTTTTTGCTTCTTCTTCCACCCTGTATGGCAGACTGCCATAATACTTCATTGCATTTGTTGCTCTGATTGGTCCTAGCACTGTCCAACTGCATGTGTAGATGGTTTGATAGACAGCTGTAGATTCTGCCTCTTATAGGATAAATAGGATAGCTTGTTAGGCTAAATAATAATAACAATAACAACAACAATAATAATAATAATTCACTTGAACCCAAAACGTCCTGCATTTTTGAGGTTATGAAAAATGAAAAGGTATTAGTTCACAGCCTTCATGCACTTGTACATGCTGTCTTTTCTTCTCGCCCTACTGTTCCTAGCTGTATTGTAATTTTCTTTTGTTTTCCATCCATCCATCCATCCATCCATCCATCCATTCATCCATCCATCCATCCATCCATTTTCATCCGCTTATCCGGAGTCGGGTCGTGGGGGCAGTAGCCTAAGTCGATTTTGTAAGCATCAGTTAAATCAAATCAAGCATCACTTGCAATATTTTCCAGATATTTGTGAATATTATGGTGTTCTTTATTGCAGTAACTTTTCATCTTTTCACCGCAATTTATATCAACAGCTTATAAGCTGGTGTTGAACGACTGTGAGGTCAATTTGAGTAATGGTTAGCGGGGTGTTGTCAGTTAGCTCTTATCTGGTTGTAGATTAAAGAAATACCTCACCTCGTTTTGGCTTGCTTCCTCAGGCAAATGCATCTCATCCCTATTTGAGGGTCTTTGATGACTCACTGAGTCAATACAAACAGCTTTAATACTCAAACCATTATTATTTCAAATTATCATCAAAAAGGCGGGATAAGTAATTGGCTTATGCCCCGTTAATGCTGGGAAAATTGCTCCATGCATTTTGCTTCATTGACAGAGGCCTGAAAACAAGTAAAGCTAATGGCATCATCTGACTGTGGCCACTCCGTTCCCTCCACCCTCCTCCCGGTCTCTCCTCATGTCTTAGACAAACAGGCTCATCTGCACTGGGTCACTTGCCATCTCCTGATACGCCGCGGTTTATAGGCAATTATCTCTCTCGATCCATTATCGATTACAGTGTTATCTTACTTGTATTGCTTAATCTTTTGGCACAGTAAAATAGTGGCTCGCATCGGGCCTGGATACAAACTGCTTAGCGTTGGTTAGGATGGATGGGTGTCCATTTATGTGTAAATGGGTGCAGTTTTAGAGTCTGGTTCACAGTGCATCCAGTGTCAATGAGAGTGCAACGTGCCTCTGAAATAAAAAAATATATATATATAAAGACTAAACAGATGGGATGTGCAGTTCTGTGTTGGAGCTCAGATTTTACTCTGACATATTGCCTCATGAGACTAATGCAATCCTGTTGGTTTGCTTTCCTCTTTTAAAGCAGCGTGGCTTACAGAGAACCAACAGGGAACATCCATAGAACAAATACTGGTGGATCTGATGTTTTTGTGTCTTTTTGTTTTCCTTCTAGTTGGGTTAATAACTTTGGACATGAGGGTCTCGGCCTTCTTCTGGATGCGCTGGAGAAGCTGCTGGACAAAAAACAGTGAGTTCAATCATTAGAATTTCTGTATTTTTTGAAGTTCTGTTTGTATAATTGTAATTTTTCTTGTATTTCCAGGCAAGAAAATATTGATAAACGGAATCAGCATAAACTGATTCAGTGCTTGAAGGCATTCATGAACAATAAGGTTCGTATGAGTCTAATTACTGATGCACAAAGAACAACTAAGCAACCTTAAAATGATTGGGAGTGGGCTTGAGTTTTGACATTTATGTTGAAAACGTTTTTGTTGAAGGTTTAATGTGATTTATGAATAAATAAAACTAGACTAGCTGGGGTGGTTTTTGTGTGCTTACATTAAACTGTTATAAATAATATTTAACAGCAGCTCAGTGATGATTCCAAACCGGATTTGAATCACTTAGATGAGTCCGGGATAAGGAAACTGTAACATTGAGCTAATTTTATCAATTGAGGTTCCTGGACTTTTAATTATCTGTTTCCAGAAGGTTTGGCTAATTTCTCAGAAGTGGCACACATTTCAAGGTTAGATGAACTATTGATATTACTTCCTGTAGACCTAATCACCACACATGGACATCCCAACCCAGTGCTTCGCTTGTGTGGAGACTAAAAAGTGCAGGAGTCTCTAAGTATCTGTCCCTGTAGTCCTGTCCTGAATTGAATCAATTCATCATCCTCCGTGACCTCATCGTCCCTGTTTAAAACCAGATTAGGGCCAACTATAACAATTTACTGTACATTGAGGCTTTTTTTGTGTGTGTGTGTTAATTCCTGTTTCACTTGAAGGTAAAGTTCTCTATGAATACAACTGCTCTCATTAGTTTATACCCAACGGACCGCTTCCTCATCCCGCCTCATCTCCTCCATCTCTCACACAGTTTGGACTGCAAAAGATCTTGGGAGACGAGCGGAGCTTGTTGCTGTTGGCAAGAGCGATCGATCCCAAACAGACAAACATGATGACAGAGATAGTCAAAATTCTCTCAGCTATCTGTATTATTGGAGAAGAAAACATGTAAGTTGAATTCGTTCTATCTGATAATTTCTCTCTCTCTCTCTCGCTCTCTCTCTCTCTCTCTCTCTCTCTCTCTCTCTCTCTCTCTCTCTCTCTCTCTCTCTCTCTCTCTCTCTCTCTCTCTCTCTCACACACACACACACACACACACACACACACACACACACACACACACACACATCACAAAAGCGTATAGGTTGATCGTGAAGATTAGATGCACAGTCGGAGGTAAGTAATGTTATTGTCACAATTTAAAGGTCTTCATATCAGGACCATTTGGATTCATTTGTGGATTCTAAATAGGTGTTAGATTCTAATGAAATCTCACTTGTAGGACACAAAGTGTGATGAAAAGGCGCTTCACCTCTTTAAAGTGTTTGAACGGTTTCCATAACGAACAGGTGTTGCTGTGCACAGTTCCTAATGAAAGTGGCCATCATGAAATGTGGTCCAGAGATTTCCTTGATAAATATATATTTAATTTGTGCCAAAAACTGATATATTTTTAGATCATTTAGAAAACAGACTGGTCTAGCTTTTTCTAAAGAACCTAGCTGAAATTAATGACAGCCACTTGTGAGTCTGCGCAGAGCGTGCATTGTTTCGTATCGTTATATTCTATTATTTTTATTAACCAGAACCAAAACACATCTCTAAACCTGGAAAGAAACTCACACACAAAGCCTCTTGATAATCTAGAGATTGATATTAGCACTGAGTAGCTTCTTTTTTATTGAGTCACCATGCAGGCAGAAGGTGTTTCTGGGTTATTAAAGATTTTTCTTGCAAATATGGTTTGCTTGTGATATTTTGATTCTAAGGTGATTCCAGATGCCCTAGTTTGTGATTGACCCCTAACTTGAACCTATAGGAGCCTCCATCTCTTTGTCTGCAGGCTTTGGAAAAGTTTTGGAGAGCCTGAGCATACCTGTGCATAAAGCTGTATACAGCATTTCTTTGCTTTATGTTCTATATCAAGTTTGAACCAGGAAACAGTAAAACATCAAGCTGTTTTCTAATGTGTTTGTCAGCTCACAGCTCACAACTTTCATTTGTGTACCACAATGAGTATGACTGGAATTTAGAAATAAAATGTTTTATACAGTGTCTTCATCCATCTATTACATATTTTTTGGTTCTGTTTATGAAGATTCTGGCTGTGTGATGAAAGAAATTCATAAAGTTTATTTCCTTTCAAATAAACCAAATTCATACTATTACCGTAAGACCAGCTGCTATTTCTTTTGACAGGGGGTGCTACATTCACTGACTCAAGGGGGTAATAGTGCCCGGAACGTTTTGCTTCTGTGCTTCTCCCATGAGAGCGAGGGAGGGAGGGGCTTGATTTCATAGCTGTGGCGCTATAATGTTCGGCATGGCGAATGCAGCTGGTAAATTTGTGCGATGCAGAGCTCCAGGAGCTTCTCTCCTTTAGAGCTGGATCTCAGATCACTAGACAGTTCATGGGGACTGTGAGTGACAGCCACCTTTAGGAGCACGGCTCCAATTACAATAAAAAGCAAGTTATGTCCAAGTTAAAAGGAAGCGTGTGACAGCGCAGAGGCCTCCCCTACACCCCCTTTATGCCACCATTGCAAAATCTTTTGTGAAAAGCACATGATCGTGCCACATTACCGCTACAGTCTGACCACTTATGAACATTCAAAGGCTTCCCAATGCCCCCTCAGCTTTGCAGAAAATTGGCGGCATTGTTTTATGGAAGAGGCTAGAGAGGGTCAAAGGGATCTGCTGAGGTGAGGTAGGGGGGTTAGAAATTTGTACTGCTGTAGCTCATTAGGGGCCCTGACATTAAATCAGCTTTTTGGTTTAAATGGAAGTCAGATTTATAGATCTAAGTACTACATTCACTTTAAGTCCCAACAGTACTTAATGAGAAACTGTTTTTTTTTTAATTTTTATTGTTTAACAATGATCCATCACTCTTGAGTTTAATATAGTGGCTGAACGTGAAAGTAGTCTTCTACCCCTATTTCCTGCATTAGCTGCCGATGGAAAATAGTAGAGGTAACGCTCAGATTTCAAAAACCTGACAAGTCTATGTCACACTGAACACTAACATTCATGGACTCACCCATCTTGACTCACAACAGGGAAGGCTGTTGTTGGCTTAGTGTCCAACAAACAGCAGAGAACGTCTCAGCTAGTAGAGCATAACTGTTAGCAATAGCAACTTCACCACACAACACAGTTCCTTCAGTTTTGTGTTATTTGTAAATATTTGTGGAGGATCAATGTTGCAAAGCAAACAGAGTCAGTGGTAGAGTCGTGTTGCTGTTAGCCAATCAGAGGCGAGATGTCCCAAAATAAGACTCCAAATCCTGCTGTATTCTGCTCGCCACTTCTCTGGTTCACTTGTACTGTCTGAAACAAGAGAGCCAGAGCTTTTCCCCCCACAGACGTCGACTCACAAGGAATTCATTTATACTGGAGACCACAGATGAGTTGAAACACTTAGTGAGCTTGGTCTTTAAAACAGTATCTCACCAGCCTGCTACAAATTATTAACAGGAATTGTGAAAGAGTTTTCTAAATGCATTTAAATGTTCACAAGTCTTTTGCTTAATAACTGGACATTTTTTAGAAGATTGAAATTGTACAAAGAGGCTCAGCATTGTCATGGGCATCCATTCAGGAACCTTTTCAGTCAAGTTTTGTTAAGTCAGAAAATGGGACAAACATGGTCAAAAGGTGGGTTTTGCAACCACACGGCAAAAAAACTAAAAAATACAAAATTAGGAGTAAACAAAAAAAGGCAGACATGGAAATTTGTACATTTGTTAGTGCTTGTGTACAATTTTGTGTCAATAGTGAAATTACTCTTTAGCTTAGGTATATCATGACATCTGTGACTGACAACTTAACCCTGAATTACTGAGTGTTTTTCTTTCTGTTTTTAATGCTGAGTAGAAAATGTTGTCCTTTTTATTGTCAATCATAACGAATGTGAAAATTGGGCAACATTGTTCAAATAAATGACAATTAAGTACAAAATACATGTACATTTTTCAATCGTCTTCCTTTGGTTGCATTTACTCTCTTGTGTTTATCTTAATTAAGCATTTACAGCATCTGTATGTCCTCAGTACAGGGCGAAAAATTGCAATATAAGACGCCTCTTAGTGTCTTTACTGTGTAGGATTTAGTCAGTTTAGTTTGCTATGGACACAACCTGGTTGACAGCTTATAAATTGGAGTTATGGGAGTGTTTTTTTATTGCCTCCCACAGGGCCCGACTAGAATAACAAATGCACTTCAAAGTCAAGTCTGTATGCAGTTGAGGAAATAAACAAACCCACATTTTCTGCGAGACAAGCTGAGTTTAGCAATGTGTCTCACATCTCTGACCATCCCAAACAGCATTTATGTTTGTTGTTCTGACACTTACCCCAGCATCCAAACTCGTTTTATAGCTGCAGAGTTCCAGGAAGTTTAATAAACTTCTCTTTTGGTTTTCGTTCCATCGAAATAAATAGCTGCCATAAAAATAGAAGAGAAACAGCTTAATAAAAAGAAACTGGCAGCTATTTACTTAATTATTGATTTACTTGACTTTGTATTGTAAAATACCACTATATATATATATTATATATATATATATATATATATATATATATATATATATATATATATATATATATATATATGCCACTTTTTTGTGCCATCCTAGCATCAACATTCAAAAATAGGTTGAGATAAACACCAAGATTCCTTCCGTGATCATAGCCTTGCACTAAAATGTCTGGATCCTGTGGAAGTGACAGCCAAAGAAGCTGAGGTGTCACTTTTTTTTTTTTTGGCTTAGAAAATTCTCCGCCAACCAATGTTGTGACTCTGACTCATGTTCAGCACCCACTTCGGCTGACAGCATCAAAAGAGAACACGACAAGTTAAGCAGATCTATCTTCCCTGTTTTGTAGCTTCGACTGAACTGGCTTTAAAGCTACTCAGTATGCCGCTTCCCGCGTTTCTCTGTGACTTTGTAATGTCTATCACAGAGCGCTTGGTCTCTCCATTTATCTCTGTGTCAGGCTTACCCTGCACATCCACTGGTCGGACACGTAATCTCCTGTGCTCACTAATCAGCTGCTGATCACAAAGTAGTAAAACGGGCTGCAGGAAGTGCATCTGGCATGTGTGATTACTCATATTTGATGGACATTTTACTATGTATTTGCTAGTTCAGTCAAGAAGAAGGCCCATTTATGCCCATGTAGAATAATAACATAGATTTAGTGCTTAAGTTTCACATTATTTATAAATCACTGTTGTCACAACAGCTTGGAAAGCATCAATTTACTGCAGTCATTTGTGTGTTTGAGACAAGCACAGCTTTTTTCTTCTGTTTAGGTGGAAATTGTCCAGTATTCCAAGCTGAGCTGCCTCGAGCCCTTATAAGTGCTCTTATTTGCTTACCTTTTTAGTCGGTGTGTTTGAACATTAGTCAGCCAAATACAATTTACCGCAGAGCCTTTCACAAAAACCCATTTGCATCAAAACCCTGTTTTTGTCAAGCCTCACCTTAGCAGCAGCGAGATGAAGTCAAAATTGGATACTGCTCCAATAATAGACTAGATTTCATACAAAGAGATGGAAATCCGTCACGTTTGTCAAAGTGGCCAAAGACTAGCTGAGTAAATGTCCACACCGACACACAAAAAGCGATAAGATGCATGGTGTTTGAGCTCCAAATTGCGAATAAATGTCCTGTCAGTGAGGTGATAAAAGTGTTTGTTGACTTTTGTGTTTGCCTGCTCTCTGTGTTCTTCCAGCCTGGATAAGATTCTGGCTGCTATGACTATTGCTGCAGAGAGGAACAATAAAGAGAGGTTTGCTCCAATTGTGGAGGGACTGGAGAACCATGAGGCCCAGCAGCTCCAGGTGAGTACTTAGGAACACACACACACACACACACACACACACACACACACACACACACACACACACACACACACACACACACACACACACACACACACACACACACACACAGCCTCAAACAAACACACACAAAAGCATGATCCAACAAATTAAACAATACTCTAAAAGACACTGTGCTGTCTACTTTACGTCTGCGCTGCACTGATGCGGTACATTATGCACCAAAAGAATGTCTACACACTACTTCAGACAGGGTAGATTTTAAATATCAAAGTAAAACTCCAGCATATCACTGACTAGCGTGAACATAAAATACAAAAATGGCGCTAAAGTTGAACGTTTTGTCTCCCTTTTACAGTCTTGGGCCGATTTTAACATAGTCTCCTCTGTTTTATCACTTTTTCATTAATTCCATCTTCACGTTGACTTGTCACAGCCCCTCTAGCACATGACAAGATGTGATCACTTGGCTATTAAAAGGCACTCAATGCTCCATTGCTGCTGCTTTAATCAAAAGGCACCTGGGTCATTGAGCACCTCTGCCGAATCGCTCCATTATTTTTGCAAACACACAAAAAAGAGAAAAAAAAATGGGTTGGTTGTCACATTTTCTCTTCCACTCGTCTTTTCTTCACATCCTACAAATACTTCCTCTTGCCTTTTTCCATGTTGCTGTCAAGTTGAGTCTCAGAGGACTCAGCCGTGTGAAAGGGCAACAAAGCACCATAGCTCTCCTCATTTTCACGACTGTTCTCCAGGAAGCAGAGGGACAAAACAGATAACGGCAACAACACCACTTAAAACATGTTTTTTTTAAACCAAAGCAGGGAATTACTTAAGAAATTAGTTTAGCTGCAGGGCCTGAGAAGTCATGAAGGAAAAGCCATGAAGGGAACTGATGAGGCGGCTGGTGCAGGAGAAACAAGATATTCTTTTATTAGTGGGTCTGTGTTTTCCCCTTAAAATTTGCCATTAATGGAATGACGCTCTGCTAATTGTGAAGTAAATTAAAATGCTTTGCTGATGCAGGAGTTTCAAGGAAATTAATAGACTTTGAATTCAAAGCCTGTGATGGTCCACGCAGCTAGACTCTGCTAATGCGATTAAAAGGTGGATTCAGGGTTTTCTTGTTTACCCAGAATTGCGTTTAATTTAAAATTTTTTATGCCAACATTAACACTTTTAATTGCAACTTTTTGACACGCCTCCACTTTTTTTTGCCACAATCCTTTCCCCAGATGCTTCTCCAGTCCACAGCGTATGACTGAGGTGTGTTTGAGATGCTTGATGTAGGCATCTGTCTGTATGCGGTAGAAGAGAAGGAATTTTTCATGAGCTGCACGACTTTCTTCACTCGTAGAAATTCTGTGAAGATTTGGTGGGGTTGCTTTTATGTGTCTGGGCTGTGGCGGTTACAATAAAACGTCAGGCTCCGGGTCAGCAGTAAATATATTTCATTTTTTATTTTGATGCCCTTAAGCTTTTCTTTAACATGAAAGTCTGCCGTGTTTCTGGCCGACAACACTGTTGGTACCTACAGATCATGCAGAAGTTTGGGCTTCCAGGTTCAGAGAGTTCAGTCTGGACAGAAAAGTGAGAAAAAGATGGGCACAGGTCAAAAGTGGCACAAGGTTAAGACTCTTTAATGGCACTTCCATGACAGTTTATGCAAGATTCTTTATTTTTATAGTTTTAAAATGAGAAATGTTTAATAGTTGCAATAGGTGTATTCATTTCTTTCTTTGCTGTTTTCAGTAATATTTATCTGTACCACATTAGCCATTTCTATGATTTATGCCTCTTTATATTATAATTGTAATGCGCCTATTTCTTATTTTTACGTATCTGTTATGTTTTGCACCAAGCCGAGCAGTTTTCTGTTGTTGTGATTTCTGACACATATGGCAAAAATCCCAGAATTTGGAGTCTCACTCATTGATATTCATCACGGGCCGACATCCCGCCTCTGATTGGCTAACAGTAACGCAGTTCTTCCACTGCCTCAGTTTGCTCTTGTGTTTTAGGTAAAAATGCAACACTTGATGTGTTCTCTCCAAACAAACAGAAACGTGAATGTGTGTTGCTATTGCTAATGGTTAGCATCTACTAGCCGAAACACGCTCTCCTGGTCGCTAAATCAACCCAACCGCCTGTGAGCCGCGTGCCAAGGTGGGTTAGGGTTGTTCCCAAGTTACGTGGCTGTTCCAGACCCGGTCGTTTTCCCATCTATTTTGTTTCAGCGGCTAATGAAGGAACATGCGGTTGAACACTAGTTTCATGCGCTAGACTGACTGAGCGTCTTTCCAAAAAAAAAAAAAAAGTTTTACACATTTCTCAGTGAACCTTCACTTAAAAAAAAGAGAACAGCAAAGCAAAGCATTTTCCTTTTTTTAGCTCACATTATTTCTGCAGGGATTTGTTGTTGTGACTTGCTCGATCAAATCCCAGTCACACTTTTTTATATTTGTCTGCATTTTGAGTTTTTATGGCTATAGGAAATTGTCACAACATCACCTCTGATCAGTGGAAACCTGACATCGCTGGAGATCATGCTGTGTGCCAGTGTATCAGACACAAAAGGCGATGTGACGTGTTTCTATGTCATAGTAATACAGACAACTAGGCCAAAGTGTGTATGGAGCTTAGGATACAACTCAAAAAGAAATGCCCCCAATTCCTGTATTGTGCTTGTTCTTCTTGTTAAACAGCAATATTTTAGTGAGGTCTCTGGATGCGTGATGATTATTTTAAGTGGACTGGAAAAGTCAGGGAGATCAATTGTAGCTTCAACCGTCATACTACATTCCTAAATAGTAACAGTGCACCACAGAGCCGGAGGTTCAGCACAGCACATTAATAATCAGGAAGTGGGAGTTGTCCGCTGTGTCTGTACTTATTCAGTTATTTAGGATTTCAAATAATAAAAAACAAACAACCTTTTTAACATATAAAACTAGATCAAACTTTCTTTTTTAGACAATTTGTATTTGATTTAATCAAAATGATTTTCATTACAAAAAAATCCTCTCTGGGGCCTCAGGCACCTTTTTTAGTGCTGATGTCTGTATAATCAGCATTAGGGGACCTATATTCTTATCTTTTCCATTTATGCGTAGACACAATATCATTTATTTTGAATATTAGCAGCAGGCGGTGTATGAACCGGGATGGAGTAAACTAAAGACATATTAATTAGATGTTAATTTGCAATTTAGAAAAAATGAAAAAAAATAAATAAAAAAGTTTTCTTAAAATGTGGTTGGAGTTCCTCCAGATGATCAGTCACCTGAATGTTGCCTAAAATGTGATTAGCAAATGTACTTTTAACCAGTCACCCAGCATTTTATTCACATTAACGTAGTTTTAGCTCAAATGGTAAATGGCCTGTATGTAGATATGGACTTTTTAGAGGCTCACACCCCGCAAGAAGCTTTAAAACACAATAGTCACTCACACGCTGGTGGTGATGAGCCACAACACGCTTTCACCCAGAAAGACAGCCAATGAGTGGACAGAGTGAGACGAACGTACTGCAAGTTAAAACTACAAAAACGTATGGTCGCTGTGAAGAATCAGCAGCCCAGCCATAACACACACCAACCAACTGTAGAGGGGTCAAGGTTTAGGAAGGCAGCATTTCAGATATGTCCATGGGAATCCTTCAACCTGCTTATCGATCGTCTGTCAGAGGAAAACTGCCTTATCCACGGCTCGCTCCCATGAAACTCCTTACTTCTCATTATAATTCATCTGTGATTTCCTCCCAGCTGCCCACCCAGCACACAGACTCTTTTTAGGCCCGAGCAGCGAAAGCGCTGCGAAGGCCTCTTGTTTTTGCTCTGTTTATTAGGCCCGAGCAGTGAAGCTGCGAAGGCCTATTGTATCTGCTCCGTTTATTATTACGCTTTCTTTCTTTTTTCTTCCGCGTCTTTGACTGGCCTTTAGGGGGTCTTAGCATATCCAAAAAGTCACCAAATTCTGGCCCAATATTGAAAGTGCGTGAAATTTACGTATTTCACTGGCAATGTGAAAGTTCATAAAAGAATGGCTGAACAGCGCCCCCTAGAAAGTGAAAAATACCCCTCTCCATAAAGCTTAGTTTATCGTACAGTTATGAAATTTGGTACACTTGTAGAACTCAACAATACGCACAGAAAAGCCTCTTGCATCCATGGTCAATATCAAACAGGAAGTCGGCCATTTTGGACTAAAGTGGCCATTTTGACCCTGTTTCGGCCATTTCTTGGGTCTATATTTGGTTGAACAGTTTGGTCATTTTTCGCACGATCGTCTCAAAAATAGTGTGCGATCGAACAGAAGCGACGGACGATTAAAATGAGACAATAAAATTGACTTTTCGTAAATACTGAAGGGGCGGGACCAGGCCTCAAAGTTCGAGCACTCGCCAAAAAAATTCAAATTGCTATAATTTCATAAATGAAAGAATTACAGTTAAAGTAACTTTCTATGGACAATCATCATCGCCCCCCGAAGACAAATGAATGGTCAATTGATGATGTCACATAAGCCCCGCCCCTTCAGGACTTAAAAGGTCAAGTTTTACTGGGAAATTTTCCAAAATTTGCCCTTTCAAATAATCATCCCAAATTTGTATCAGGTAACTGAAGACAAGTTGGGGTTGCTTGGCGTCACTTTATGGGAGTTTTCTGCAGAAGGCGGGGCTGTGGCGGCGCGGCGAACTCAGGCGTACCACTTAGGCCTTACGTTTGCCTCCCATTTCGTCATTTCTAGAGATATCGCCACGAAACTTCTTGTGAGTGATGCTAGTCCGGCCCCCCAAAAAATCTGATGTGACATTCCGGTGGGCGTGGTCTATTTGCTGAAATAGCGCCCCCTAGGACCATTAAAACTGACAGCCCCAAGCCATGCTTTGACTGAGGATTACGAAATGTGGTACACTAATGTGGTGTCTCAGGACCTACAAAAAAGTCTCTTGGAGCCAAGTGCAAAGTCGCACAGGAAGTCGGCCATTTTGGTCC